TGTGAAGATAACACAGAGAGAGGAGGCATTTAGGAGCCACTGTGTCGATAGTTGAGGACGAAACATAATTGTACTGTCCTCCTGGCTATTGACAGAGTGTTCCCTCAACTGCACAGCACCTGCCCGGAGGTTCAGCACCTCGTGAGGCTCGGTGTGTCACAGCCAGCGGCTCCCCGAGCCTGCCAGCCACAGGAGCCTTGGGGCCAGCTCGAGGGAGAGACCCATCCACCAGCACACACATTTGTCTTCTTAGTATTCGCTCCAAGAACAAAACTATCGTCCAGGCTACAGTCATGCTTTGAGTAACACACAGGAGGTTTCTGGCAGTAAAAAGCTGAGCTGCCTGAGTGTTTCTGAGGGGCTGAACCGCTCCAGGCACACAGGCAAAGCTCTTCAGTCTCAAATCATGACAGATGATCCAAATGAGCCAAGGAGAGTGAGAGAAACCCACCTAGCTGCTCTACAGACACCAGGGCAGTGCAGAGAGATCCCTGTTCATATTACATGAGAGAGCTGCCAACAAGCTACCTCAGGGACGAGAGACTGTCCACAATACTCCAAGCCCAGGAAGGACTCATTTCCCTCGCTCACTTGACAAACTCATCAGCACTTTGCCCAGTTCCCCTCTTGAAAAACTTTCAGAAGCCTGACATCTGCTCCACTGCAAACCAGAGCATTTTCCTGTGCTCAGAAAGATCTGTAGGATGGGACAAATGCTTCCTGCTCAGCCATGACACACAGCAGTCTTCTCCACCAGCTGAGAAACCTGCCAAGAGAGATGGGTCCCCTCTCAGCCTCTCCTCTGGCAGAGTCCTCCAGAGCCCAAGAGCAGCACAGGCAGTTACTGCCTCCCTGCTTTTCAGAGGAATAGGAATGAAGACCTGGCACAGGGCAGGTGAGGCTCTGTGGATGCCCCAGAGGTGGAGTCTGGTGTTTCTTGCTGGGTCCAACAGAGCCTCCAGACAGCAGGAAAGGTGCAAATGGAGTGATGCAATACAGAGAGGGGGCCTTGTATCTCTGCAACGTGCCAGAGATGTGGCACCAGGGCACATCTCTCCAGCTCCAATACCAAGCATTTTCCTCCCCTTCTCCTCCTGGAGCACAGCAACACGGGGCACAGATCCAGAAGTCCCAGATCTTGCAACTTCTGTAGATGAGGTCTTGGATGTTACTCTATTCCCTCTCCATGTCCAAGAGGACACTGTCAGAGATCACTCCTACACTTCATGTTTCCAGGTCCTGCACCACAGCAAAGCTTGCTCTGGTGGTCCCACTCAATGCAGCGTCACCACACAGAGATTCCCCACCGGTCTCTCTGCCGTTCCCTCACAAGCCATCCCACACACACAGGGAGGTTACAGGGATCCCTCTGGGCTGCCACTGGGAAAAGGGAGGGAGGTTATGAAGGTTCTGTTTGCTCACAGACACTGTGTCCTGCTAGTCGCAGGCTGTCAGAGCTGGTGTTGTCCAGTTCCTCAGCCAGGGGCTGGTGTGGTTTCACGACTGCCTTGCACCTCAGCCCACGTGGGATGCACCGTGCACACTGACTGGGAGCTCTCCTGTTGAGCTGCACAAAAGATGTGTGAGGCTGACACATCCTCAGTGAGATCTGGGATGACCCAGATCCTTGAGGCTGTCTCCAGGCTAAATCATCTGGCCTGTCTTTGAGTGATCAGGAGACCTTCCCTCAGGCTTTGAAAGGGCCTTGAAGGTGATGGCCCAGTTAACCAGACACGTGGACATGAGTTTCCTCAGGAACAGTGTCAGGGGAGTCACTCCCAGATGAGAGGCTGTTCACCACCCACTGCAAACCAGCACTTCGAGCAGGACGTGAAGGATCATGGAATCACAGAATCATTATTGTTGGAAAAGACCTTTGAGACCATGGAGTCCAACCATTATCCCAGCACTGTGTTCACCACTAAACTGTGTCCTCAAGTGCCACATTCACATGATTTTTGAACATTTCCAGGGATGGTGACTCCACCAGTTCCAGTGGCTCACCACCCTTTTTGTGTAGAAATTTCCCCCAGTATCCAATCTAAACCTCCTCTGGCACAAGGTGAGGCTGTGTCCTCTCATCCTGTCACTTGTTACCTGGGAGAAGAGACTGACCCCCACCTGGCTGCACCCTCCTGTCAGGACAGGAGAACAGTCCTGATATGTCCTTATTTTGTCAAGGAACATGCCACAGGAAGCACCTAGCAGGGGATGGGAATGTTGCTGACTTGTCTTACAACCTGTTCTGACACACACAAGGAGCTTCTGGCCTTGCCCTCAGGAGCTCAAAAGTGGAAATAACATTTTAAATACTGACCTTATACTAATCAGCTTAAAGCACAAACAAGAGTTCACATCCCCTACTGTCTCTTTAGGTGATTATTTAAATAAATTCAGCAGAAAATAACTTAAAAATCCAACAAATCTTTACAAGACCGATCCAGACATATTTCTTTTCTAATGGATAATTACAGATACAACATAAAGTACATCTGAAATGCGCCATTGTGAAAAGAAGGAGACAAAATGTCAAAGCAGCAAGGTAAGGATTTTTGGAGAGGTGCTCTGGCAGATGGGCTTTTGGCATTCCCAAGGCGCAACAAAGCAGAGTGGCACTGTGGAAATAAAATATATTAGCTGAATGCTCCTGCTAAAGCTACAAGAAGGATATTCCAGCACACCCTTCTCAGCTGTAGGAAGATCAGATGAAGGGTTATGCTCTCCCATCTCCAGTTCCAGGGTGAAACATCCCCTGCATTTCGCACAATTTCTTTGTGATCCATAAGAGTAAAACCTAATTTTAAACTCAGTTTTATTTTTTGGACTGTAACTCTGTACTGAGGGTCGAAATCTCTACCAGGGGAAGGAAAGCTCAGGCTGCAGAAGCTGCTCCTTCTGCCCACAGGACAAGTTATCCCTACAACCCCCAACGCCATCCCCAGCCCACTCCAGCTCCAAGGCCTCAGGGAAGAGCCTGGTGTGATTCCACAGCGGCCAACAAACAAATTCTTAATCACTATCAGCTTCTTTTCAAGCTGAGTTAAATTTTTAAGCACATTATATTGCACACAGAGAATCCTAACACAGTCTGTGGCTAAAGCTGGATGTCACTACATGGTGACAAGCAAGAGGAAGTGTCGTGGTGGTGCCACTACCAATATACATTTTAATGGCCCTGACCAGCCTTATCTGGCACCTCCACCCCCACCCCTGGTCCCAGCAGCCCCATTTCGGGGAGTGCTGGTCCCAGCTTAGCTGATCTTGGTTTGAACACCAAAAGTGAAGCAGCCTGGCTGTCAGTTCTTTATCTGCTCCCTTTCCAAAAATGTATCTGAAACCAGAGAAATCAGTAATTTTTTCTTGATTGCACTTTCACTGTCAGCGAAAAAATATGGGGTTTTCTTTCTGATTAGTCAAAGTTCACAGGAACTAAATGAACATTTCAAAATAGAAACAGCACAATGACATTTTAGCAGCTTTCAAAAATTAACACTTGTGTATATTATTTACTGAAAGTTTAACATTTGCCTCAGCATTTTATTTCATAACCCTCCAGACTCTCTGTTATCCTGAGTATCTGAATATATACCATGTTAGAGTACTCATAATTAAATGACACCATAGGACAACTGCCAAGCAACTCCATCCTGGTAATGAGCAATGAGGAGAAATCTTCAGCTGCACCCATGGGAAGAGCTATTTCCCCTGGGTGTCTTTCAAACCACGTTATTTTACATGTTGGACCTTGGTATCTGCCTCACACTGAGGTTCCACTGCACTCAACAAATGCCTGGGTTTCCCCACTGCCCAGCCAAGAGCCAGAGAAACCAGCCCAGAAAGAGACTTCCCTTCTCTAGACATCTACACTTGAACAAATGAATCTCAATCCAGTCACATAAAATAAACACCAAATCCGACTCAGACAACTCAGATACAGTTTAGACCTCCAAAGTCTTACAAGTCTTGGCACAGATTCTATTGGAAGTAATCTCAAATTCACTCGCAGATCACTGATACAAATGTAGACTTGTGTCAGGCCTGCCACTGACCCAACATCAACCCCTTAAAAACACCAGCCTTCCCACTGACAACCACCTTAGAAGTATTTTTTTCATGTCTAATTCATATAATATCTGCTCCACTGCTTCTGGGAGCTACTGTTTGACTCCAGCTGTCCAGCAACTGCAAATGTTGCACAGCTGCTGCATCCTACATTTATTAAGCAACCTCTCTGTCAAAGTGGTACTTCCCCAAAGAATGTTTGACAAAATCTGTCTTTCATGGGCTGTTACAGATTGTAGCCATTAATCTCAGTCTGCCCTTGACTGTGGCTCCTAAAAGCTGGATTTCCCTCTGCTCCCAGAGTCTCCCTCCACCAGTAATTCTCTGCAAGTCCCTGTCCTCACGTATCCACGATCCCACCACATGGCACTACATCATCTCCAGCCCCTTGGTTGTCTTCCAGAATCTCTTTGTTTCCTCTGCTCTCTTTTCCTTGATCTTTGTGGCATGTGCTGTACGTGTTCAGCTGGAGATTAAAAGAAGCAAAGTGATCCCTAAGCAGGTCCAAACTTTTTATCCCTACTTTCTATATAATGGGAAAAAAAAAATGAGTGCATAAATACTTTTTACCTTTCCTTGATGTTCCACGCTCTCTGCATTCCTTCCTTTTTTTGCACTGGTTGTTCCCAATGGACAGTCCTTGGGTTCAGTAATAGCCTGTTTTTCCCTTTCTGGTGCTCCTCGATGTGGGGACACCGGGAGGGATGGAGCAGCAGTGGGATCACAGATTTGGTTATCCTGACTTGTGCAAGGATACCACCACCACCACTGGGACAGTCATCTGGTATTTAGTCCTGGATCGAGAGCTTTAAACAGTTCCCCCCTCAGCTGAGGCAGGAAATCCAGCCCATCCAGCTGCAGAAATTTTGGGGACTAATTGTAAAACGCTCCCTAGACTCGAGGTTGGTGTAAAGAGAGGAGTGGATAGGGTTGCTCACCATAGATTTTCTGAATTCCTTGGAGGTCGTCCTGGGGCAGTTTGAAGTTGTGTGTCTCCATGTACTGGTAGAAAGGAGCCATGATAGCGCTGGGATCGTTGGAGTGCTCCAGCCCCAGCGCGTGCCCCAGCTCGTGCACCGCCACCAGGAAGAGATCGTTGCCTGTGGAGGGAAGGACAGCCAGGTCAGAGCACTGCCACAGCCTGAGCCAAGCCCAGCACCCTCTCACCCATAAAGCAAGAAGCAAATGCTTTGCCCTCCGACTGCACAAGCAGGTCACAGTGCCAGGGTCAGCTCCTGGAGATGGTTTCAGTCCCAAAAGTCTGCACTGATCAGTCACTGTCACGGAACGGGCCCTTGAGCACCCATGACCGGGTAAAACAGGCAGGCCTGGAGTGAAGATACAGACTGTAGACTCTTTGGTATAGAGTTTACAGAAAATGGCCAACAAAATCATCACTGATACCACTGGCTCCTCATCTGGGTGCTGCCAGGAGAGGTGAGAGCACAGCCAGTCCAATAATCAACAGGGGTTGATAATCAACACGTGCTTTGTGCCCCTTCTGGGTTCTCTGGTGCTGTGCTCTGATCTGACCTGGACCAACAAATCCCAGGGGAGATCTGTAAGGCACCTGGCAAGAGGGAGGGCACAGAAGATCAGGATAAACACCCACTGTCCCACCTGTAGTGGGACCTGGGGCAGCCCCATCTCCTCCAGCACAGGCCCCTCAAAGTGCTTTTACTCTGCTGGACCCCTGGCACTGCCGGGGCTGCAGGAGGAGCTGAGCACAGGAACCCCATCCTGCAGGAGGCAGAGCCACACAGGGAAAGGTTGGGTTGGATCCCAGCGGAGGGGACAGAAGGAGGAAAGAAGGGACACGGTTCTGACAGGAAGAGGAGCCCTCTCTGGTGCAGAAGCTGGAAGGAGTGCAGCGGAGTAGGGGTACCTTCAGCTCTACAGGCACACATTCCTCTTCAGTCCATGGATCTGGCACCCCATCTCCTTGATCTACTGTGGTCCCTGGATGTCCTACTCCGTGAGGGCACCTTGACATGGGAGGTGACACAGGCAATGCCGTGTGAGGGATGAAGACACAGCCAGTAAGGACTGATATAAGAGTCTCCTGATGCCAATGAAAAGCCTGAGCCCACAATTCTGCCTGAATTCAGGCTCCTCTGGTTTTGTTTCTTTTGGCAAGGCACAAACCAAAAACACTCGCAATCGGACACAGGGGATGACATCTGTCAGTGGGCAGCTCAGTGGCTCCTCTGCAGAATCTCCAAAAACACTCCTCCATTCCCCACATCTCCAAACTGAACCTGTCCTAGAGGTACCAAAGCTCAGTTCTGTGCACAGGGCTGAGCTCTCCCTGGGACAGGAGTTGCATGGAGAACCATCTCCACTTTTTAAATAGTTATTGCTCCACTTTTATCCATAAAAATGTGACAACAGAGGTTGAGGGGTCTGTGAGTCTTCACAGCAGGGAGCTTTGGCAGCATCTCAAGATGCCTGAAGGCAGTACCACACAGTGCTCCCCCAGCCACACATACCACACCAATCACTGGACTTGGAGGGTGAAAGATTCTGAACATGCAAGACATGTTAAAATATACAAATGCACTTCAAATAAATTTGTTCAAGTGAAAATACCCAAACCCATAGGCAGGCTAAAATTTAGCCATATATGGATGTAAAATTCCAGAACTTATGTATTCAGGAAATCCAAATGGGGACTTAGTAATTTTTCTCATCTGTTGCTGAAAAATCTGATGTGTGCAGAAGAAGTCAATAAAATGTCCAACAGTGTAGTATAAAATGCATTAAGTGGTTTCATGGTAAAATTTAGAGGACTGACCACTCTTCGTGGGTTTTCAAAAACACTCAAGCTTAGAAGACACACCCAGTTTCCAAATGGGATTCAGAGACTCAAAGTCCTGTTACAAATTGAATGAGCTTTCTCTCCTGTATCACTTCAATACCCATGAAAGCATCATTTTCACTGCTCCCACAACTACTCACACGTGGAAGTCAGTAATGGTAAAGGTCACTCAGTACAGAGCTGACTATCATGACACTCTTCTCATCGTTTACCCACAGGCTGTGCCTGTGCCACTGCCAGTGCCAGGGACATTTTCCCTCACCAGTTTGGTGGTATTTTCCTCCTTGCTGAAGTGTCTGCAGTGTTTGCACTGACAGCATGTCTGGAACTCATCTTTGTGTAAATCTACATATAAATCCATGTAAGTCACTCGCCTCTATGTGCTAAACCTTTATCAGGAGCATAACATCAGACACTACCTTAAGTTAAATTAGTTTTAAACAGCTTTCAATCACTTGTTTCAGCCCAAAACAAACATCAGTCCACTTTACAGTTGGAAAATGAATCCCACTGACTCACAGGATGGTTGAGGCTGGAAGGCACCTCTGGAGATTGTCCAGTCCAACCCCCCAGCTCAAGCAGGGTCAGGTAAAGCAGGTTGTCCTGTCAGGTTTTAAATATCAAGTTTCTTGTACTGGGAAGCCTCACACTCCAGATGTGCTGAGTAAAACGGAAGGATCATCTTGACGTGCTGTCAGTGCTCTTCCCAAGGCAGCCCTGGGTGCTGTTGGCCTTTTGTGCTGCAGGGACACATTGCTGACTATGTTCACCTTGGTGTCAACCAGGACCCCCCAGGCCTTTCTCTGCAAAGCTCTTCCCAGTCTGTGGGCCACCAACAAAGCCCAGGTGCAGGGCTGTGCGTTTTAATTTGCTTGCCTTCAGCCTGGGGGCTCCTCCAGCCTCCCGAGGTCTCTCTGAACGACAGCATCGCTGGGCAGTCCATCAACCACTCCTTCACGTTTCCCATCATCTTCAAACCTGCTAAATGTGCACTCTGCCGCATCACTGACGTCATTTCATGAAGATATTAAACAGTACTGGCCTCGTATCAACCCCTCTGGCACACATCCTGAACTCCTCCATCTAACGGTTACTGCAGCCAAGGATGCTTCTCATCTTCACAATACCCATCAGTCCTTCAAGCATCGGGTCCAGCACATCATCTGTCTTTGTTGGCTCCTTGATCATCAGTGAGACAACCAGGAAGAGTTCAGACATGATCAGCAAGCCCAGAAAGATGAAGGCTCATTCCTGAGGGATTACCTCAGCATCCATGCTGGTCATTCCAACCAGCTCTTCCATAGAAATACCCCTTTTCCCAGCTATCCTTATGAAATACCTGTACCTGGAAATACAGACAGATGTGGAAAACAGCTGCTTCTGTCCAGTTTTAAATCACCATTTTGACCGGCAGTAGCGTGTGAAGATGACACAGAGCATGGAAGATGTTGACTGGGGAACTTCCTTGCATCCAGAGGTAAGAACTTCCTAGGAAATGAACCTTCCCAGTTCCAGCCCAGCCCCAGAGGGCAGGTCAGCACTGGAGTGGAAAAGCTATCCTTCTCCATGGCCAGGAGGCCACCCAAACTGGAGCAGTGATGTGCTGGGGGCAGTGGCTGGAGCAGATCAAGCTCAAGAGAACTTCTAGGAAATGAACTGACCTCCACAAAAAGCAGGACAAGAAACTCCTCTTGGCTCTCCACAAATGCCCTGGTTCTCAGTGCTGGGGTTGCTTCTCACCTGCCTTTGCTGAAAGGCAGTAGAATGGCAGTGGCAGACACAGCTCCTGCTCCTTCTGCTCCTGCTCCCTGCCCTGGCCAAAGCATTCTCACCACTGTTTCATCCCCTCACCCTTCTGCTCTCAGAAGTCCCAAGCACTTCCCACATCAAACCCAGCTCTCTGGTAAAGGACTCTCAAATTGTTTGTAATATTCTACCTTTCCCTGCAGAGTTAAGAAACACACGGCTTTACTGCAGCAACACAGAGAACACTGGAGTCACAGATAAACTGAGTGATGTATGATCTTCCTTCTACTCACATACTCCATCCCTCGGGATCTTCATTCAGAAAAAATGGCTGTTCAGTTGGGTAACAGACACTTTGACACAGGTTACTCTTTGTGAAGCCTTTTTTACAGTTTCAGTCACTGTATTAGGAAGATCCATATCAAAATGTTTTATATATTTGGCTAAGCCACTCACAGAAAGGCCCGCCAGTTCACAGGAACAGGTCACAGTTATTATGGCAGTGCTGTGGTATCACTTCTGACCATCAGCATTTATCCCTGAGCACCACAGCTGAACGTGGAGCTGTAAGGAGTGAGGGTAGGCTCTGGGATTGCACCTGGCACAGGGGAGTGTGAATCCAGGACACAGCTTCTAAGACAAAAGAAGTACAAATAATATTGAGTATGCAATTAATAAGAGAAAAGCACCTGTGAAATCTCTGCTCCTTGTCATGTAAATTTTACACTTTATGAACTGTATCACTGTGCCAACACAGCTACGTATTGCAGTTTACTCAAACATAATTAAGAAGACATATAAAGGTTATATTTTGAAATTTTATTGAAGTAAGAATGATGATACTGAAGAGGTCAGATGGTTGTGTGTGACAATAGCATGCCTTGGTAATTACAGGAAAGATGGTGTGAACTAAACATGCTTTAAATACACTAAAATGACTCCTTCCACTCCAACAGCCACGTAGAGACAACTGCTTTCCAAGCACAACTTAAAGAAGCTTTAGGGCTACTCTAAGCTATGCCTTGGTTTTGGCATCTTCAGACCTGGTGGGTCTGACCTGTCCAACAGAAGAACATGTGGTTTGTGTGTGCTCCTCCATTCACCTCCACAGCACGCTCTGCTCCAGGAAAGCTTTTCGATGCTCTGCAGACCTTGAAGAAGGGCTGATACTGCTCTGTGGAACTCTGGAGTTCAGTGGAAAACAGCTTCTTAACCTAGAAAGGAAGAAAATATATGTTAGAAAGAAACACAGGTGTCCTTTTGTTCACAAGCAATTATTGTTGTAAGTGTGGCAACGAACATGATGCATGCTAAGGAATTAATGAGAACTCTGAAGAGTGACTGAACAGTTTCACTGGAGAGAAAAAGGAGTGATAATCTGCACTCTTAACAGCAATTGTACCACAGCCACATTAAACTGTCTCCACGAGACCAAGTGACTGCAGAAGGTCAAAGAACTGCATTATGTTACCAACCATCACGAAAGATAATTTGCTTTATTGCCCTCAGAAGGCCACGTGGAAAGCAGGGTGGTAG